TGGCGAAGGAGGGGCAGCGGCTTGTGCAGCAGGCCCTTCAGCGCAACCTGGTCAGCATGGCGCGGCAGATCCCCATGAAGATCAAAATCAATGGCAAGGGTAAGCACCGCAGACAAAAGGCCTTTGCAGGCTGCAGCAGGGAGGGAACGGCTCCCAATCTAGGGTGTCAAACACCTCTTTGCACAGAGGATTGATTCTCTCTCTGGGTGCCAGGCAGAAGTCACTGTCAAGAACCTGTTAAAACGGAGCACAATAACTGCGGAGCTAAACCGTAGCAATATTTTGTTAGTTTTAGTCTGTTCCTGTTGATAAATAACCCAGCAGCATCTAAATCCAGCCTGCATTCAGAAGCACATAGAATCATTGAATGAATCACAGAATCATAGAATGCTTTGGGTTGGAAGGGGCCTTTAGAGGTCATCTAGCCCAACCCCCCTGCAGTGAGCAGGGATATCTTCAACTAGATCAGGTTGCTCAGAGCCCTGTCCAACCTGGCCTTGAAACCACCTTGAAGCACCCTAGCTCTGTCCAGAAAGCTCTGCATCTAAGCTGCTTAAGCCCACCCTGACCCATATGACGAGACCCTTACCCTGAGCTTACAACCTCCTGCGTTGGTCACTGTGAGTTTGCTGCAGGCCTTGGGCTGGCGTGTCTCCACGGAGCTCGCGCTGGGCGGAATCGCCACTTTCGGCTGATGCCAGCTCGGTCGTCCTTGCAGCAGTGCTCTGTCGCACGCTGTGTACGCTCCTTCCTTCACGGGAAGCCGGCGGGTTGGCTGGAAGCGCTTTGGGCCGCATACCTGCCCCCCTCGCATTGAATACCTGGTGTACGCTTCCGATCCCATCCCTGCCAGGAAGGTGACTTTGGGAGGGGGAGCCTACCGCGTGCCAGATGCTCAGCTTTCCCCTGCCCTCGTCTGAGCCTCTGCGCTGCGGGGAAGGATTTTCTGTCCTTTGAGCTGATCACGGAGGTAACAGCTTTTCGGCATGGGTAGCAGACTGCAGGAGAGAGATGCACCCCCCAAGTTTTTAGGAATCCTTTGTCGGGTGTGATGAGGAGGCCCTACGCATCCCGGGGCTTTTAGCAGGTCAGGTGTTTCCTCCCAACATCTGCCGCAACCCTGGGCACAGCCTCCAGGCAGAGAACTCCTGGCCAGGCTGGGTTAGAAGGTCGCCTCTGAGCAGTGTCCGTGGCCTGGGAAGTGCACTCCTGCAAGGCTGTGTGACAGGGGAGTCGCGCTGCGCAGGGATCCGCACTGTTATACAGGGGCTTCAAAAGCTGATGGAGTGCCATGGCCCCCTTACGTGTCCTGGGGGCTGCGCTTCCCCGGACAGCAAAGCCTCGGAAAATTTCAGTCCCAACAGCTGCTTCGTCCGGAGCTTTTGATCTGTTAAAATTGAAGGTCTCAGACCCGCTATTAATTGTACATTCGGACATAGGCACAAGGCCAGGCAAGTTTGGCACGGCGTAGAAGAAATGGAAGGGTTGTTCTTCAGGGCTGTGCTAGCGATGCTGGTAAAGATGCTGAAGAAGAGAAGGCTGAGAGGGGACCTTAGAAATGCTTACAAATATCTGCAGGGTGGGTGTCAGGAGGATGGGGCCAGACTCTTTTCAGTGGTGCCCAGCGACAGGACAAGGGGCAAC